GCCTTTCCTGGAACTCACTTGGTAGCCCAGGCTGGCCTCGAACTCACAGAGATCCGCCTGGCTCTGCCTCCCAAGTGCTGGGATTAAAGGCGTGCGCCACACCGCCCGGCCGTCTTTCAGATTTTTAACTGCTATGAGACATTTGATTATAAAGGCTGCCAGATTAAACCAATCTATATATTTTAGAAATATCTTGATTACAAGGTTTAAGTCAGAAGATATGTTGCTTTGGAAAAGAGGTTCTGCTTTTGTTTCCACAGAAGATGAGAAGCTGTGGATTCCTTCTAGGTTAATATGGTTCCATCAAGGAAGACCCCTGAGAGGTCTCCAATGGGAGCCCAGGTGACCCAACATCCAGAATAGCTTCAAGGCAACTGGCTGAGATGATGCAGCCTCACAGACTACTACAGCCAAGATTTAACCACAATTCTAAAATTTCTCAGGATCCCCATAAGATTGCCAGTGCCCCCAATCAGCAGGAGGTAGTATGAAAAGCGATGCCCAAACTCCCAAAATATTGTTTATGAAATCTTGGTTTTTATTTTAAGGGAGTTAATTATAAATGGTTAATGGTCATAGTCAATCTCATTCTAAAGAAAAAAGGGGGATATGATATAGAAATGATGGAAAAAAGGGTAGATTATTGAATCTACTTTAACCCAAAAACAACTGTTAATCTCAAAATACTTTACATTGGTATGGATTTTGAGTTATGGATACAAATTTAAGGTCAATTTTGTTACACTATATGTATATTACTACTCTTGTTTAAGGTATTATGTATATGCAGCTCATTTTAAAATGTAATTTATAATTAAAAAATACAGATTAATAGTCATCTATAATAGTCAAACTTATAGTCATATTCATTAGGTTTTCCAGGTATACAGAGATATATTTCAGATAGATAGGAAATCTTCAAACACTTCAGAGACCTACAGAATATGACATTTAAAACGCTTTAAGAACTTAAACTTTTCTAGACAGTGAGACATGTCTGCTCCTAGCAGCACAAATTACTTCAAAGAGGAAGATGGGCATCAAAGAAACTCATTATGGAGTTTGCTTACAATGTGGAAAAGGCTAGCCATTGGGGCAAGAAACTGCTCTTGCCTGGACTGCTTGACAATATATTGTATGAACTGCACATGCAGGACCCCTAGGAAGGTGACCACTGAACCTTGCCAAAACAAGGTGAGATGGTCCTTCAGGTTCCTGCTTCACAGAAAAAAAAGACTGCCAGACATTCTGCAGGACCCAGAGAAAAATGGCTGATGAACTTTGCCAATAGGTGAAACAGTCCTTCAAATTTCTTGCTTCTCTGCAAAGTCTGCCAGAGATTCTAGGCCTGTAGGCTGAAGATGGATGCTCCAACATTACAGAGGATCTTTGGGTGACTGTCCGGGCAGCCAGATATCTCTGTCATTTCTAGAATTTTGGATGTTGCTTACAATGCACTTCCTGTTTACTCAGGTAATATTATATCCTTCTGGGGTCTTTGATGGAGCTGAAGGCTAGATAGTTATAATTATAGTTTTCCTTGGTTATGAGAAAAGGTAAATTAGAAATAAAACTTTAGACTCACAAAAATAGGATAGATGATATTTTAATTTTGCTGAACACAAATAGACTAGTTATTGTAACTGTAATTCTTGCTTAATAACTCTCTTGTTATATGTAATTTTACTATGTTAAAGTTAAAACCTTCCTTTTTGATTAGACAGAAAAGGGAAAGTGCCGTGGGATGGTCTTTCTGTATCCTGTAAATATGTATTGCTACCATTGGTTAATAAAGACGCTGTTTTGGCCTAGGGTAAGACAGGATGCAGCCAGGTGGGAAACCAAAAAAGAGATACAGGGCGAAGAAAGGCAGCGTGGGAGGAGATGCTGTGAGCCAGCCTCTGGGGGAGCAAGATGCAAGAGAACACAGGTAAAGCCATAAGACGTGGTGATACATAGATTAATAGAAATGGGTTAATTTAAGATGGAAGCGCTAGCTAGCAAGAAGCCTGAGCCACAGACCAAACAGTTTGTAATTAATATGAAGCCTCTGACTGGCTTATTTGGGTACCAGCGGGCAGGAAAGATTTATCCAGCTACAAATTTAAGTTATAAGAGCTAGTGGGACAAGCATAAGCTAAGGGCGAGCATTCGTAACTAATACTAAGTCTCTGTGTCATGATTTGGGAGCTGGTTGGTGGCCCAAAGAAAGCCTACTACAGAGATCCTTGAGAGAGGAAACAAAGAGGCAAATCCCTTGGCTGTTCCAGCTGACTGTCGTTTCCAGGCCACAGCGCAGGAACGGGGACCTGAACGGAACCCAGGAGTTGAGAAAGGTCAGGGCAGCAAGTGTGTGCACAGCAGAGTGACAGAGAAGGCAGCTGTGCAGAGGGACAGGGGTGTGAGAGGCCACCTTTGAGTCACTGGCTAAGAACTGACCTGTGCCTGAGTGGGACGAGATTACTAACCAAGGCCAGGGAAAGAAGTCCCAGGAAGTGAAGGTCAAACAATTCTCAGATCGCCCAGGGAGCTGGGGAGAAGCCACATTCCCATCGGTACGGCAGGAAGACCTTGTGACATGTGGGACACAGAACAGTTCTTAGAAGTGTACTACTCTGGAGCCATCAAAATTGGTCCTGGACCAGTGATTTACCAGACATCCCTAACAAAACCTAACACACAGACTCTAAAGGATCCAATTAATTCTCCATAACTTGAGTACATCTGAAGGGAAAAAAATCTAGCACCCCAAAATACAAAGCCATAAGGTTTGGCATCAAACCAATCCAATCAAAAATTATAAAGAAGCAGAAGAATAAGACAAAGAGGAATAAAATCAATTAGCAATTATATTAAAGGATATCAGAATAGGAACAGCAGACCAGAACATTAGGTAGTTATTACAAATATGCTTCATATTTCTAAAAAAGTAGTGAAAATTTACAAAAGGAAAAATGGAAGAAGACTCAGAAACTTCTGGATAGGAACAGTGTAAGTACTCTGTAAAACACATCAGGTGTGCTGATTTTACATTAGATTCTCAGGGTCAGAGACCTGGCAGGCGACTAAATGAAACTGTGCAGAATAGTGCACAGGAAAAGAGACTAAAAAAGTAACCATGAACTCGGGCACAGACTCGCCTCTGGGGCAAAAGAAAAGCACACTATGTGCGTGTGTGTGTTTCAGAAAGAAGAGACAGGAGAGTCATAAAAGTGACAGAAAACAATGACTGAATATTTCCCAGTTTTATGTAATCTATAAACCCACATATCTAAGAACCCCAAAAGAATAAAACAGTTTTAAAACCAACCAAGATGTTAGGTGGGGTGCACGCCTGTAATCTAGGACTCAAGATGCTAAGACAGGAGGGTCATGAGTTCAAGATTTATAGCAAGCTCTAGGCTAGCCTAGGTTATATAGCCAGCCTCTATTTCACTCCCCCTACACACACACACACACACACACACACACACACGACTAAAAATAAAAAGAATTAAGATGTGAATTCACTATTTTATTTGAAGAAACGATAAACTGAATGACTTATGTATTCTTTCCCTTGAATAAATTCAATCTTCACTAACTAGAGGAATTCAGAGCTCGGTTGTTTTAACTTACTGCTACCAACTGTGAAATCACAAGGAA